GGTTCCCGCTCACTGGCTGAGCGCAGTGCGGGCACAACACCGAGGGTTGCGATCCCGTTACTGGTCAGTAAAAAAGACAAAAAGGAAAAAAAAAAACAATTTGTGGTAATGGGTATACAGCCACTATGAATCTGGCCCTCACATCATGGGCACGAGGGGTGACAATCAGCTTTGTATCTCATGAGTATTCATAACCAATTAAAAAAAACAGAAAAATCGCCCCAAAACACAATGTTTTTGGCCTCTTTCATTCAATTTCATATGAAGGTAGTTTGAATGTCATATGTTTTGAAAAATTGTACCCAAAACCAGATAAAAATATGTAGGTTCATCATTGAAAAGTAAATGTCAATAAAGTGATTTAAAAGGTTCTTGCAGTAATAATTCGTATTGGATGCAAATATTCTTGAAACCATATTTTACCAGGAATAAAATAAGCCTAAATATTTGTCTCATCTTTGCCAGAAAGTGTACACTGAGACAATGTGTAGTAATTTGAGAGAATTTAAAGATTCTGTAAGCAGAGTTAAAGAAATCACATGGGGACTATCAATAGAAACCTTTTATGCCCAGCACATCATTCCCCCAAAAGAACATAATGACATGATTATCCACTTATGTTGGCCAACCCAAAGCTCAACAGTGAACTGATTGCCCTGTGTTGGGAATAAGCTTTACAGAAACTGTAGTGGAATGTGTTTGAAGTTGCCCCTGAACAATTTTCCATTAGTACTTTTGCCTAGAATCTGTGTTTAAAAAAAGAAAAAGATCACTGTAAAATATATTAATTATGCAGATCCATTAGTCTGCAAAGTGGAGAGACTGAGGCGTTTCCATTTTCAACTCACCCCTAATCTTTAAACATTTAATGACGCACTGATGAACCAAGAGCTTCTTCTAGAGGACTTAGTATTTCGTGTGCTGATTTCAGGCTCAAAATACTCTCTGATTCTATTTTCTTGTGTGAGAATATAACAGGACCACTAGCTCTACTCATCTTTGTACACCAGCCTAGGACGTCTGATGACAAATTTAAGACTAGTCCAACACTCATGTCTTAACACCAACTGCTTTCTCCATACTTAAAAGATCATTTACAAGCACTTAATGATCGATTTATTTAAGTACGCACATCCATAGCCAGAGAACAGGCAGAAGGAAACACAGGTAAGATAGAATACAGTCTCTACTGCTATTTATTTGGATTTGGTCACCTTTCGGAAGAAAGTAGAATCTTCCAACCAAAAAATGAAATATGATTTGGGAATATTTCATAAAATTGTCTCAGATTAGTTTTAAGGGATAGGCCATATTTGATGGGAACTGTGGCTGAGCACAACATATTTCGTTAAGAGTAAAAGTTCTCATGTGAAGGCTATTAGTATATTTAGACTCCTCATAACTGCTGTTGGAAAAAGCAAATTGATTTTAATTTCCTTGTCAGTATTGGCTGTAATACCACACTTTCTGATTAAACCACCCAATTATGACTTTTTTTTTAAGAACAAGAAAAAAAAAGTAATGCAGACTCAGTGACTTACCAAGCCTGCCTCTGACTATCATTTTGAAGACATATTTTATTGTGTACTGTACTCTGAACTCTTTTTAATTAACTGATTGTCCACACCAGGGATACCTCAAAAGCTATTGCTTGTTAGACAGAACAGACCACACCAAGAATTCAATATTGTATTAACAACTTCAAAATTTGACTCAGTGCTCCTAATTTTTGTTGGGTGGTTTTTCTTTGTTTAGATCCCTCTGTTTTTTTGGTAAAATATAGCAAGTGTGTCCTGAACTAGGTTCTATCTTCTAGCAACATTTTCATCACACATAATTCTCTCTCATAATTTCTCTCTCACAGAAGAGAAGAAAATGCAACATTTCACAGACCAACCTCATGACTGATGTGCCCTGCCTCTAGTCGGAATGCTGCCACTTGAGAAGAAATTACAAACATATTGATTCAATATCATACATTTTTTTCCCTATAAGATTTCATCTGAATTTTATTGGCTCAAATGGATTTCAAATGGGGAGCTCAGTGCTCAGGTGCAAAGGAATCCATTTGAGGACTCTGAATTTTGACTTTGCCACACTTCTCAGCATGCTTATCGGCAGCTGTGTTCATTTTTTAATTACCCAGGTGTTATAGACACTTTGCAACATTCTACCGGAAGTGCCACCTCAGCCCTTTCCAGCCAGGCAAAGAACAGAAAGAAAACCATGGTGGGAGTAAAGGGAAGGTGAGAATTCTATAAAGTTCTCCATAAATAAATCAATTTGGTTGGAATTGCTTTTTAAATTTTGCATCAATGACAAAGCAAATATCTTGCGATACTAATATTTCTAAGCTATCATGGCATCTTTATTTTGACTTTATGTTCAAAAGATTGAAAGTCAAAGGGATGGGTTTATTCAGATCAATTAAAAAAGCTACCTTAATTTAGCTGCTTGTGCATACATCTTACCCTAGACTGGCTCATTTTTGTCACATCCACATCTTTGGAGCTGCACAAACAGAGTGGAAAGAAAGCGCACATTCTTCAGTTTTAAACACATAATTAGCTTAGAGTCACAAAGACATAATCTGAGAAGAAGGAGGTTATATAGTGTCAGAAGGGAGAAAAATACAATATATTATCCCAAATCCCTGCAAATCATTCCATTCCAGGAGTTTGTTGCAGATTGTACTGATGAAGTGATACCCTTACATCGGGCACAGATGAAGAGCTGACTCTGGAATAAGCCTACCTGCTCCTGAGTCTCTTCGTCACTGTGTTACCTTAAGCAAGTTACAAACTTGCCCTAAGTCTCCATTTGCTGCAAAATGCTGAGATAAAGTTATTCACAGAGTGGTTGTGAAGATGAAAGAGATAAGCTATGCCACACACACAGTGCCAGGCATACAGTAGGTACTTACTAAATGAAAGTGACTGTGCATTCTTCATTTTGCTAAAAAGAATGGTTGATCTCATTGTGAAATTTTGAAAAAAAAATTATTTTCCCCAACATGGCATAGATTTTATTTTTCAGAATAGATTACATCAGATTTTCTGGTTATGGCATTCTGGACTTTTCAGAGTGATACCTTCAAAGACTGTGCACACTTGCCCTAACTCAAGCTAGGGGTCCTGACCTCTTGAAGATACAGATGCTGTTGCTGTTCTACATCAGTGGGTCCGAGCATGCTTGGAGCCCAAAGACTGCTGTAAGCAAGCCACCTGAAGGAAAAGACAAGTACTTTCACATGCAGCATGCCATCCCCTCAATCTTCATGAATTCATATTACTAAAAAGCTTCAGATGATGATAACTCTATTTACAGCTAATGACTTTATATACAACCTGCTACAATGGCCATGAAAGGAGAACGATGACAGGAAATATTAAGTGATGTTGTGGGATTAGGTGTGTGTATTGGGGAGGGGAGAGGGCATGTTCAGTGCTGATGAGTTCACATAGCAGTAATTGGCAATGGACCAAGAATAAAAGTCTTGTTTGTTTTTTCAACAAACTACCTGCTAAGGAACACTTGGATTCGTAGCCATCTAAGACTGTTATTAGGAACATGCTTATTGCGACCAGTAACAAGGCAATATTATAACTTTGTATGGGTTTGGAGAATTTGTCTATATTTGAGGCTAGGCTAGATTAATCAAAATTTAGTGTATTTGTTCAAATGAGCAGCTTTATTCCAGCACACAAAGGGTGTGTGAGTCATGGCATGCCCCAAAGAGAGTAGACATGAGGGTCAGTACATTCCCAGACATGCACTACTATTTCCATGAGCTCCCTGAAGACTACTTCAGAATCTGAAAAATTGCTATTCTGAAAAAGAATCTATGCCCAGGAGCTCTAGGCATGCATGATCGTACCAAGTTTACTTCCAAAATCTCTGAAAAATATACAGTCAGACCTCCTTTTGCTTTACATTCAATGGTGTCCATCTTTAACTTCTATTATAAATATATTCTCTAGTTCATTTCACTGTGAAAAAGACTATGCAGATTTGTTGATTGTGTAACAAAAAGAGAAGATTAAAGCATCAGTTTGTTTCCATTAGAGCAATTACTTAATCATCTTATCATCTCTGTCTAGAATAATTATATTAATAGACTTTCTCCCAGACTTCTGAATTAACAACAAAGAATTCAGATCATCTTTTACTCTCTGGAAAATAAAGAAAGCAGTTAACCAAGTAATGCATTTAAAAACCATAACTAGCAGTGGTGACCAGACAGTCATTCTGCACTAGTTTGAATTTAATAACAGCAACTTTTCTCCTGATCAGCTTCAGATATAGAAACACAAGAGCCAAGGCCAGGCATTTGACAGATGGTGGCACAAATACACAGTGCAAAGAAAGACAGAAGAGAAGCAACAGCCACTTGTGCTTATGGCTTTTCATGGAATGCTAGAGATTAATGAATACTTTTTGTAAATTCAGTTCTTTTAAAGGTGCGTGCACCCAATTGCAGGGGAAACTCATTCATTCCACCTTGGTATAAAACCTTATGAAATCAGCACACATCTTTCAGCACAGCATACAATATTTGGCAGCTATTTATGGAGTTTGAGAAATTCTTACTCTGACACTGATGAAGAAACTTTAATTAAAATGGTAAGAAGGTTGTAGCACAAAGAATGTACTTAGGGCATTAAACACTCCAAAGGGGGGTGGGGTAGAATGACATTACAGTTTTATAAAGCCAAATATAAGTTCGCTTAGCTTCCTTACTATGTTAAAATAAACCCAGTATATACTTCAACAGCTAAGGTAAGCATGACACTATCATATAACACAGCCTCTTTGCTTTACAAATATGAATACAAGAAAGCAAAGTAAAAAAATCCTCCTATTATCACTAAAAACTTTAAAAATGATATTTGACAAGAAAAGTGTATTGCTCAAATGTACTTGTGTAGAAACACATGCACATACACACACACACGCACATCCCCGCAGCCAGCTGTAAATCAAGATAGATACAAACTTACCGGAGCAAATATCACCATACACATTTACAAAAGAATTGATAATCCAACTTCCCTCTCCTGAAAGAAAATAGAGGTTGTCTCATACTAAAAATAAAGCTTCTCTGTCCACAGCACCAGCCACTTGTCCCTCTTTTTATGAAGCACAGGAGGAGAAAAAGAAAATCAATGCAGAGGGAAAGTGAGATGTTATACCAATCAGGTAGCAGCTTCTGCCTTATTTGCAGAGAGATAGCAAAACGGTCATATTATTAGACGGTGACAACCTACAGCTGAGTATAGGAACCTGGTACTTCCCTCTGGTGAACGCTGCATGCTTTGTGGGGGGCGGGGGGTGGTTACCAGCATGGTGAGCTCCCACACTTGGCTCCCCACTCACAACTGGAAGTGCAGGACCGCTTTGCACAAGCAGCCTGCATCACAGACAGGCACTGTTCCCCTTTTACTCTGCGAGCCTCCTCCTCCCTGAGACACAGCGCTTGAAGACAAACTGGGAAATAAAAAGAAGCCAGGATTTTGTGTGCTGGGGGTGAGCAGCAGGGGGGAAGTGGTGGTTTTATAAAATCCTTAAGAATAGATTTGCATAGATTAGGTAAATGTTGATATGTTTGTTAAAAAAAATTTGCCCTGTTTTTTTGAAATACGTGGATGTTATGCATGATCCCCACTTGACAAATTCATTCACTTGCCCATAACTAGTCATTAAGATGATGGTACTGGAAGACAGGCTTTTCAGGCTCTGGCAACTGTGGAAGGGACAAATTACAACTTGGTTGCTCATTCATCACAGGAGTGTTACTTAAAGACTTCTACAAAATCAAAATTAGAAAGGTTTCAGAGGTTTAATTTTCTACAAATGAGTCTCTGTAGGAAGGAGCTGAGCTTGCTAATTTAAGGGGCTGAAATCATGGCACCCTGAGGCGACATGTATTGTGGGACTGGTATTGATTTCATGCAGAGGCTGCCCAGGTTACATGCTCTTGCCATACTGGCATTCCTCCCAGCGGCCTCTACCACAGCTCAGGGAGAGGAAACCTGCATGCATCTCCCCTGATGTCCCCACTTCAGAGCCTACTCGGTACAAGAATATTGCTCAGCTGGCCCAGGTGTTTCTACACCCTGGTTCTCTTTTAGGGTTATCTTTTGTGCAGTTGGTGATGGCCCAACTGAAACTCACACAGAATTGCCATTTTTTAATAGGTGGTTATTAATTTGAAGTCTGTCCCGAGTCTTTCTTTGTGTCCCTCTCTCTCTCTCTCTCTGTCTTTCTATCTCTGTCTCTGTCTCTGTCTCTCTCACAGTCACACACACACACTATCACCACCACACCATAACCATCACCAACTTCTCCCTCTCTTACTCCCTTCCTTCCTTTTCCTATACCAGATGAGGTGGGAGAGGAGGTTGGGGACTAAACAAACTACAAAAGCAGAGAACTGTGATGAGAAGTTGAACAACCTGGTTCTCATCCTGATCCTCCACTTACTAGCCATGTGACTTGGGAAGTCCCTGAAGGTCTCTGAACCTTAGTTTGCCTTCTGTGAAATGGGTATACTAATACCTCCTAGAGCTGCTGGTGGGGATGTGTGGGGAAGAAATGAAAAATGGCTAAGACAGTGCTTTCAAACCTGCACATGCACACTGGGCTCAGGGACTTCCTTCTCCACCTTTGATTTGCTTGTTCCTATGCATAAGCCTTTAGGGTATTTACAAACTCTTCAAACTGTATATATGTGGCCCCTTTGAAATTCTGATAAGAACCTTTTCCACCCCCACTCCCCTATGGACACCCCTCATCTGCTTATTGAGAAATCACTGCATTTCAATGAGAGAAATTACCCAGGGGAGTAAATTAAGCAAGTGAACACAGTTAAAGCAGAAAAATACACCAAAAAAACAAAAAACTGAGTGCCACCGGACATTGAAGTAAGCACTCAGTAAGCATTTGTAGAATAAATAAGTAAAGGGCTGACTGAGGGGATAATGTCCCTGTGCTGAAGCCCACAGTTCCTGCCAGGTGGCTGGTAAGGAGCAGGGTTAGGGCAGAGTTAGAAAGGTTGCTGTTTCCAGCCCTGCACACATAGGGGAGAACAATATATTTTCTTCAGGGTGGACAGTGAATAGTTGTCATCGCCTTTGCATATTAAGAGCCCCATTTCAAGCAAAAGAAAAAAAGCGTATTCTTCCACATAATAATAGTGAACATTTCTTGAATATGTACGCTGTGCCAGGTACTGTTCTAAGTTTTTTTGGTATATCACCTGTATCAGTCCATTTCTGTTGCTTATAACTTAAATACCTGAAACTGGGCAATTTGCGAAGAAACAATAGTTATTGCTTACAGTTTCAGAGGCTGGGAAGTCCAAAGTCCAGGAAGCACATCTGGTGAGGTGACTCAACTATAATGCAGGGGGTCACATGGAGAATGGAGGAGAGAGAGCTAACTCCTCAGTCCTTCCTTTAAAGCCCTGAGGACCACACCCATGATGACCATTAAACCATCAATGGATTAATCCATTTACTAGGGCATGGTCCTCACATGCTAATCACTTCTTCAAGTCCCCACTTTTCAATTCCTGCAACAGGATTTCCCACCCTCTTAACACTGTCACAGTGGGGACCAAGCTTCAGTGAGTTTGGGGGACATCCAATCCACAGCATCACCTTATGTGGGCCTCCCACAACTACAAAGAGTAATTGTTTTTATTCCAGTTTATAGATGAGGAAACCAGGACCCAAAGAGTTAAGTAACTTACCCAAAGGTAAACAGTCAATAATTGGTAAAGTTAAGATTTGAACCTAGTTGGATGCCTTCATCCAAGCTGTTAACTACTCTGCTCTAGGTGTCACATCATGGCAGTTATACTTTTATTTATTCAGTGTACAGGGTATGACTAATCCACATATGGATGCACAGACCTTGCGGTAACTCCTTAGCTGTCCCTACTTTGAGGATTCACATCATAGAGACTGGGAACCCTGGTGTAGACTGAAGGTCTACCAAGCCAACAAGGTCCATGCCCCAGCCCCACTAGATACTGAATGGACATGCACACATTATTTAACACCTGGGAAGAGAGGAGGTGTGAGGCTCAGTCTTGGGTTTGCTGACATACTGCTCTATGATCCTGGCTGTGTCCCTGAATTTGTCCCTGCTTGTTTTTCTCATGGTTAAATGAAAAGATTTCCCCTGAATTATCTCTAAAGGGCTTTCTGGGTCAACTTCAATTAGAGAAGTTCCTAAGGCTAATAGGTAGGTTCTAATCTGCTAGTCGGGTTAGCTTTTCCTGCCATAGATTCTGTTCCAGATAAGGCATTAAAATTCCCTAAGTCTCCCCTACTGCCACCCTACCTCCATTACCTCTCATGCGAAACACTGCAATGGGCTCACTGCTTTCATTCTTACCCCTATAAATCACTGTCCATGTATTACCCATATCAAGCTGTTTAAAGTTTAAATTAGATTATATCACTCATTTGAGAGAAATACTTCAGTAGTGGCCAAGAAACCCAAACTACTCTTCACTGTGCCTTCAAAGTCTTATGTGATGTGGTTCCTATTCACCTTTTAGTTTTTCTTTTTCTTTCTTTTTAAAATCTAATTCCAACCCTCTTCTTCCTTACTCTTCAGCCACACTGGCCTTCTATGTTTTTCCACTTGCCTTCTGCCTGGAATATTCCTTCTCAGAACTTTCCTCTTCCTTTATCATTCAATTCTTAGTCCGACTTTCTGCTCTTTAGAGGGTCCTTCATCCGTGACCACCTAATTTTAAAAAATCTCTCTTTCTCCAGTCATTTCCTTTCACTTTATTCTGTATTTTTTGTTGTTGTATTTGTGTGTGTTATTGGTTTTTTTTTTTTTTTGGCACTTCTAAACGCCTGATATGTTCTTGATTATTTAATTATTGATTGTCTTTCTTCACTAGGCGATGACCTCTACAAAAGTGGAAAGCTTGTTTGTTTTGCTCAATACTGTATCCTCAGTGTTTAGCAGAGTACCTGGCACATAGTATGTGCTCAATAGATATTTGGTGGATAAATAAATGAATGACTGAATCAATGACTCTACATAAGTACAAGTTAGGATTGAGATGGTGGTAAAGAAACCTAAGTTCATCAAATGAGCTTAGCTTTGAAATGCAGGACAGATGAACAAGGGCAATTGGTTCATTCATATTAGCATACGTAGGCTGTTTTTACCTTTTCATTCAGGAACATTCTGGAAAGGCTGCACATTTCAGTATCAATTTGATTTAAGTGGAGGCCATCCCAACGATGGTGGAGAGCTCCTTTTGTAAACCATGATGATCAGGGGGTTGTTAGAAGCTTTGGCTCCCAGGGTTCAGTTCACCTAGGCCCACATAGAGCTGCTGCTATTTGGAAACCTGCCCCTACATTTGTCATTAGAGAACAAAAAGTCTTGTCAGCTAGCTACTTGACTGTCCTTACCTTCCAATTTATCAGACAGTTCAGACAGTGGGCTGTCACTCTCTAACATGGAATTGGAACTGACAGAAATCAAGCAACATGCCATTATTTGATGGTTCTTATTTGAAAAATGATATTAATGATATTGTTGCTACTGCCTTAAAAATAACATTTATTCATTATTAGACTATTAAAAATAGAAGTACGGTGTTTTCTAAGTAGAGTATTTATAGAGAAGGTTAAGTAGACTGAAATAATCTGTGCTTCTCCGAAAACCTCATTAGCAATGCTAATTTCCAATATGGTCAGATTCAGCTCTGATCTTTCAATTGAGAATTGAGTATGGCCCTCACACAACTTCAAAAGATTTTTTTTTTTTCCTAAACAGAAAATCTTGTCTCCCCATTAGTGAACACACATCCTGGTAAATGCAACAGTTCTTTTCCCTTACAGCTTCTATTTCTAAACATCTGGCCTCTCAAAAGGGGTCCTTTCAGGCCTGTCTGCTTCAGGGTTAGACAGTGGGAGGTCTTGCTTTCTAAGCATTTAGCAAACACTGAGAGGAAATTCCAGAGCCAAGAGGATCTCTTCATTGCTGTGGGGGAAGGGAAGTAATCAAATAGAAGACTACTTTGGCCACACTAATAAATGACCAAGGGAGTTAGCTAAGGTTTTTCCATTTTGCTCCCAGAACAATTTCAACTCTTTCAAGCTATAGCAATGAGAGCACTTACATCCAATCCACTTATGGAACAACCTTGAAATCTTTTTTTTTTTGTCTTTTTCCGTGTCCGGCAATGGATTGCAACCCTCAGTGTCGCCCCCGTACCGGACCGGGACCGGCAACGGGATCGCAGCCCTCAGTGTTGCCCCCGCGCCTCGCTCAGCCAGTGAGCGGGAACCGGTCCGTATGTGGGATCCGAACCCTCGGCGCTTCCCAAGCGGCGCACTATCCAGTGTGCCACCAGGCCGGC